GGGGGACACAGCCATGGGGACATTGGGGACACTGAGGGGTCATCGAGACCATCGGGACCGGAGCCTACGGAGTGGTCAGCTCGGCACGGAGACGGGACACCGGTGGGGACATTGGGGACAATGAGGGGACATTGAGGGGACAGCATTGGGGACATTGGGGACAATCCTGGGGACAGCCTGGGGACAATGGGGACAGCCATAGATAGCCCTGGGGACAATGGGGACAGAGCCATGGGGACATTGGGGACACAGCCAGGGACACAGCCATGGGGACATTGGGGACACTGAGGGGACAGCCCTGGGGACATTGGGGACAGAGCCATGGACAATGGGGACACAGCCATGGGGACACTGGGGACACTGAGGGGACATCGAGACCATCGGGACCGGCGCCTACGGAGTGGTCAGCTCGGCCCGGAGACGGGACACGGGTGGGGACAATGGGGACAATCCTGGGGACAGCCATAGATAGCCCTGGGGACAGTGGGGACACAGCCATGGGGACATTGGGGACAGACCCAGGGACAATGGGGACACTGCCATGGACATTGGGGACATTGGGGACAGCCATAGATAACCCTGGGGACATTGGGGACATTGCCAGGGACAGGGGGGACACAGCCATGGGGACATTGGGGACACTGAGGGGACACTGAGGGGACACTGAGGGGACACTGAGGGGACATTGGGGACACTGAGGGGAGGTCTGGGGGGTTTTGGTCACCTGAACGCCCTGGGAGGGGTCACTCGGGGGCTCTCGGTCACCTCAGGAGGGTCCCCTGTGTCCCTGTCCCCTCTGTCCCTGTGTCCAGTTTGTGACCCCACTGTCCCTGTGTCCGGTCCCCAGGCCAGCCGGTGGCCATCAAGAAGATCCCCAATGTCCCTGTGTCCAGTTTGTGACCCCTCTGTCCCTCTGTCCATGTCCCTCCCCCCTGTGTCCAGTTTGTGACCCCACTGTCCACTTTGTGACCCCTGACCCCTCTCTGGCCACTCCAGGGCAGCCGGTGGCCATCAGGAAGATCCCCCTGGCCCCACTGTCCGGTTTGTGTCCCCTCTGTCCAGTGACTGACCCCTGACCCCTCTGTCCCTGTGTCCAGCCATTCCCGTGTCCCTGATCCCTGTCCCCATGTCCCTGACCCCACTGTCCAGTTTGTGACCCCTGTGTCCGGTTTGTGACCCCATTGTCCAGTTTGTGACCCCACTGACCCCACTGTCCAGTTTGTGACCCCTCTGTCCGGTTTGTGACCCCACTGTCCGGTCCCCAGGCCAGCCGGTGGCCATCAAGAAGATCCCCAATGTCCCTGTGTCCAGTTTGTGACCCCAATGTCCCTGTGTCCAGTTTGTGACCCCTCTGTCCAGTTTGTGACCCCTGTGTCCAGTTTGTGACCCCTGTGTCCCCATTGTCCGGTCCCCAGGCCAGCCGGTGGCCATCAAGAAGATCCCCAATGTCCCTGTGTCCAGTTTGTGACCCCTGACCCCACTGTCCCTCTGTGGTCACTCCAGGCCAGCCGGTGGCCATCAAGAAGATCCCCCTGACCCCTCTGATCCCTGTCCCCATGTCCCTGTCCCCTGTGTCCGGTTTGTGACCCCACTGTCCAGTTTGTGACCCCACTGTCCCCTGTGTCCCCTCTCTGGTCACCCCAGGCCAGCCGGTGGCCATCAAGAAGATCCCCAACGCCTTCGACGTGGTGACCCCTGACCCCTGAGTCCAGTTTGTGACCCCTGTGTCCCTCTGTCCCTCTGTCCGGCCATCCCTGACCCCTGTCCCCATGTCCCTGACCCCACTGTCCAGTTTGTGACCCCATTGTCCGGTCCCCAGGCCAGCCGGTGGCCATCAAGAAGATCCCCAATGTCCCTGTGTCCAGTTTGTGACCCCACTGTCCGGTTTGTGACCCCACTGTCCAGTTTGTGACCCCACTGTCCCCTCTGTGGCCACTCCAGGCCAGCCGGTGGCCATCAAGAAGATCCCCCTGACCCCTGTGTCCAGTTTGTGACCCCTGACCCCATTGTCCCCTCTGTGGTCACTCCAGGCCAGCCGGTGGCCATCAAGAAGATCCCCAACGCCTTCGACGTGGTGACCCCTGACCGCTCTGTCCCTCTGTCCAGTGACTGACCCCTCTGTCCCTGTGTCCCTGTGTCCAGTTTGTGACCCCTGACCCCTCTGTCCAGTTTGTGACCCCTGTGACCCCTTTGTCCCCTCTGTCCCTCTGTGGTCACTCCAGGCCAGCCGGTGGCCATCAAGAAGATCCCCC